CAGAGTGCTTTGCGTCATGCTCCACCAGCTGGCCTTTCGGTACACGGTTGCCCTCAACCACCCACCACTGGACGCTGACACGGCTGGCAAACTGATCCGACCAGGTATGGTGGTTGACAGGCTGGCTGACGGACCAGACGATATTCCGTCCGATGATTTCTCACCGTACAACGGTGTGGACATCAAGGACGCTTGGGCCAACGGGGGAACACCTTGCCCTGAATGCATGCCAGATGACCTCGGCGAGCGACTGCGCGGCTCTGCACTGCCGCATGCCACTGGGAGAGCACAGAGGACTGCGAGGAGAGGTCCGTAGGCTGCCTGTGGTCGTTGCATCCTCCTCCTCCTCCTCCTCCTCCTCCTCCTCTTCCTCCTCCTCCTCCTCCTCCTCTTCCTCTTCCTCCTCCTCCTCCTCCTCCTCCTCCTCCTCCTCCTCACAGGAGGCGGGATGCTGGCAGGGCCAGGGTGGCTCCCTCCCTGACCCCCGAGTGTGGGACACCGACGCCACAACGCCAGGCGGGACGCGAGTCGCTGCCACACCTGCAGGCGGCACTGGCCAGACCCTGCGCACCAGCCAGCAACTGGATCCCCTGACTGAGATCGTGGCTGCGAGGCCCCCGTTCCCTGACCAGGACCAGCCCCAGCGGCCCCTGGAAGTGACGCTCGACGGGGGAGCTCGGCCGATCGACAACCGAGATGAGGTCGCGGGTGCAGGGGCCACCCTCTGGCAGCACCATCCAGGCGGGGGGCCGCCCGCACGCCTGGAGCGCGTTTCTGTATATTCGGCGATGACGGGCGTCATGGGGGGAGGGGGGCGGGAGGGGAGTATGACGTAACGCCCCCCCCCCCGCCGTATGGCTCCAGCACCACAGCCACGCCCGCGCGCACGACGTCGATGAGCGACAAGCGATTCAAGCGACAAGCGACAAGCGACGAGCGACGAGCGACGAGCGACGACGACGACGACGACGCGAGTATCATGTCAGTGGCGATCTGCCCCACAGCTTGTGTACACCACAATGCTCGCGTGCATCACAGCGCGCGTGTACACCACAGCGCCCGCGTACACCGCAACAGCCGTGTGCAACGCAGCGCCTGTGTACACCACAGTGCCCGCGTGCACTACAGCGCGGGTGTACACCACAGCGAATGTGCACACCGCAGCAACTATGTGCAACACTGCGCCTGTGTACACCACATTGCTTGCGTGCACCGCACCACCTGTGCACACCACAACGCCTATCTACACCACAGCATCCGCGTGCAACGCTACGCTGGTGTACACCACAGCGCCTGCGTGCACACGACAAATAGAAGGAGCATGTCAGTGAGGATCTGCTGCGGGCAACCAAACGCCACGCCAGGGAAGTGCTGAACATATAATGCGACGTTCTTCCCTCCTCCCTCCTCCGCCACCTCCTCCTCCACCTCCCCCTCCTCCTTCTTCTTCCTCTCCTCCTCATCCTCCTCCTCCTCATCCTCCTCCTCCGCTCCTCCTCCTCCTCCTCCTCCTCCTCCTCCTCCCCTCCTCCCCTCCTCCCTCCTCCTCCTCCCCTCCCCCCTCCTCCTCCCCTCCTCCTCCCCTCCTCCTCCCTCCTCCTCCTCCCTCCTCCTCTCTCCTCCTCCTCCTCCTCCTCCTCCTCCTCCTCCTCCTCCTCCTCCTCCTCCTCCTCCTCCTCCTCCTATTCCTCCTCCTCCTCCTCTTCTTCTTATTATGTTTATTCTTCTTCGTAGTATTGATCCGCCGGCCCTGTCGGCGTGTGTGAGGGGCTTTTCCGTTCGACTCGTCGTCTCCGTCGTCTCCGTTCTCCCCCTCCCAGGGCTCTCCTCCTCAAGCGCGCTATCCAAAGCGAAATTAAACGACGTCGTAGTGGAGTCGAAGGGAAGCCCCTTCCCTTTGATCCCTTCCCCGCAGGGGGGGGGGAGGGGGGGGGGGCCCGGGGCAGATACGACGCCCGCCGGGGCGCACTTTCCTCGAGCGGGCACGCACGGGATGCACTTCCTCCTCCTCCTGGTCCTTGCCAGGAGACTGGGCTCCCTCCGCCCCCCCTTCGTCCTCTTGCTCCTCCTCCCCCTTCCCCTCGTCAGTCTGGCGAAGTGCAGCGCCGGCCATCCGAGCGCCGCGGCGGAAGTGCAGGCAAAACATGGGCATGATCAGCTACAGTGTAGGGATCAGGCCGTGCCAGAAGGCAAGCAGTGGCAGTTGGCGCTGGCGCTGCGAAGCAAGTGCGGGTGGGCCACGATCAACAGGACCGCTGGGGGGCAGCCCGTGGGAGAAAGGGGGCAAGCAGTGGCAGCCGACGCTGGCGCTGCGAGAAAAGTGCGGGTGGGCCACGAACAGCAACAACGCTGGGAGCAGCCCGTGCGAGCAAGAAGGCAGGCAGTGGCAGCAGGCGCTGGCACTGCGTCCAGGTGAAGGACGAGCCCGATGCCGTCAGCTACATCCGACGCGACGTTGGAAGCCAGCGGTCAGGAGGGAGGCCGATCAAGGACGAGCCCGATGCCATCAACCACAGCGTTGGGATCGGGGCAAGGTGAAGACATGTAAGAAAGGCGAGCAGTGCACGAGTAACGTCATCAGCTACAAAGCTGGGATCAGCTCGGGTGCGAAGGCAAGCAGTGGCAGCAGGATCTGGCAATGCGAGAAGGGCATGCAGTGGCAGCAGGATCTGGCATTGCGAGCAAATGTCAAGTGCATGAGCGGACATCTTCAGTTACAGCGCTGGGATCAGCTCGTGTGAGAACGCGCAGAAGGGGCAAGCGGAAAGCAGGGGCGACGCATCATCAGCTACAGTGCTGGGGTTCGCTCATGCGCGAAATGGCCGAGGGTTGAAGCTGGAGCCAAATGCTATCTAGCTAACCTGCTCGGCACTGCGCGTGCGAGAAATGCTGGGGCAAACAATCGGGGCAGTGGATCGGTGCACCTCGATGGCTTCGGCGCGAAAGGGTAGGGGGGAGCTCTGTGGTCAGCCTCATACGAGAAGCGGGGGGTGAAGCTAGAGCCCAATTTCGTCCAGAGCTCCAGGACCCTTTGCGAGAAGCGGGGGACAAAGCTGGAGCCCAAGTATAGCGACTACAATGCTGGGAACAATCCGTGCGAGAAAGGGGGCGCGCAGTTCCGAGAAGTGGGAGGTGAAGATAGAGCCCTATGGCATCTAGCTAACCTGACTGGCACTGCGCATGCGAAAAGTGCTGGGGCAAACAATCGAGGCAGTGGATCGGTGCACCTCGATGGCTTCGGCGCGAAATGGCAGGGGGGAGCTCTGTGGTCAGCCTCTTGCGAGAAGCGGGGGTGAAGCTAGAGCCAAATTTCGGTGCTCGTGGGGCCGTGGGAGGTTCTCAGCTACAGTGCAGGGATCGGGCCGTGCGAGAACCAAGGAAGTGGCAGCAGGCGCTGTTGCCGCAGGGGGTCGGACGGGTTCTCAGCTACAGTGCAGAGATCAACTCGTGCGAGACGTTTCGTCTGACAGGTCGGTGCGGGGACAGCCCGATGTGCCTGGCAAGCTCGCGGGGGCGAATACACGGGGCGTCGCTCACCGTTAGACCCGCTCGAATCCTTCTCCTCCTCCCCCTCCTCGCCATCATCACCAGGAGCAGCAACAGACGCATCAGCGTTATTACCATCATCAGCCTCAAGATTGTGATACCAATAACAATAAAAATCATAGAATTGATGGGACTACTCATGAACATCAGAAAAAGAAACCGAATCATCGTCAACGTCATTGCTGCCGACCTCCCACTCAACAATATCACACTCACAATCGTCATCATCATCAGCATCAGCATCATCAGCATCATCAGCACCATCAGCATCTTCAGTATCATCATCATCATCATCCTCATCATCAGCATCATCATCATCACCCTCATCATCATCACCATCAGCATCATCACCATGTGCACCATAATCATCATCACCAATACCATCATTATCATCATCAGCATCAGCATCACCATCATCAGCAGCATCGTCACCATAATCATCAGCATCATAATCATCATCAGCATCAGCATCAGCAGCCTCATCGTGATCAGCATCGTCGTCGGCGTCGACATCGTCATCGTCATCGTCATCGCCATCAGCATCATCATTATCAGCAATATCATCAGCATTATCATCATCACGCGCAGCATCAGCATCATCAGCATCATCGTCGTCGTCATCGTCATCGTCGTCGCCGACAGCAGCAACAGCAGCAAGATCAGCACCATCAGCATCGGCATCATCATCATCATCATCATCATCATCATCATCATCATCATCATCATCATCATCGTCGTCAGTATCATCATCATCATCATCATCATCATCATCATCACCATCGATACCATCATCAGCATCAGAATCATCAGCATCAGCATCCGCATCGTCATCGCCATCGTCATCATCATCACCACCAATATGACCACCATCATCATCACCAGCATCGGCATCAGGATCATCATCAGTAGCATCAGCATCAGCATCAGCATCATCAGCATCGTCATCATCGTCATCATCATTACCAGCATCAGCATCAGCATCATGCTCATCACCACCACCACCGTCATCATCGGCACCATCATTATCAGCAGCATTAGCAGCATCATCATGAGCATCATCATGATCATCATCAGGATCGTCAGTATCAGCATCATCACCAGTATCATCAGTACCATCAATATAATCAGCATCATCAACATCAGCATCATCATCATCATCAGCAGTATCATCATCATCATCATCATCATCAGCATCATCATCATCATCATCATCATCATCAGCAGCACCCCTCCTCTTCCTGGGCCTCCGCTTCCACCCTACGCAATTGCCAGCGTGCTCTGTGCGCGTGCGCGCGCGCACCCGCGCTAGCAGAGGCCCGACCCCGCCTCTGTCGGCTGCGGCTGGCTGTCGGGCATGAGCTCGGCCGCAAGGCCTGTCGGCTTCGACGGGGGGCTGCGGCCGAGCTCCCACTGGTCCGCCTCCAACTATTCGTCTTCCTCACCCTCCTCATCCTCCTCCTCATCAGCATCAGCATCAGAATCATCAGCCTCATCACCATCAGCATCATCATCATCAGCAGCATCAGAATCAGCATCATCCGCAGCAGTATCATCATCATCACCACCATCAGCACCGACACCGACATCATCTTTACAATCCTCATCACCCTCATCAGCATCAGTATCAGCATCCTCATCAAAAATTTGATCGTCGTCGTCATCCTCACCATCAGCAGCATCACCATCGTCGTCAGCATCAGCATCAGTATCATCATCAGCATCAGCATCGTCGTCATCGTCGTCATCGTCATCATCGTCGTCGGCGCCATCACCATCGTCATCACCATCATCAGCAGCATCATCATCATCATCATCATCGTCATCAGTATCATCAGCAGCAGCAGCATCATCTTCATCACCAATATCATGCCCACCGCCACCCCTCTCTTCCTCACCACAACCGTGCATCGTGGAGGCCAACTGGCGGCAGTGGTATCCGCTTCTGGTTGTTCCAAGTCCATCGCGGGCATCACCATCATCAGCATAATCATGCACATCCTCCTCCCAATCATCATCAACACTAATCAGTTCATCACCACAAATAATAAGAACCAGCATGCTAATCACTGCAGAAGAACGTTGATCCGCCACTGTGCTGCAGTTGTTCTGCATTGAACAGTCTATATGGTCCTCGAGGGGCCTGGACTGAGCGACGCTCCTGACTACGCGAGCGCGTTTGCAGCGGCCGAAATTTCGCGCAATGGACGCGCTGACGAGGGCTCCAACACCAAACGGACGCACCAAGGTCAGCCTGCAATTCCAAACCGAGACAAGTGGTGCAATGAGCAGTTACGCACACGCACGGTCACTCGAGAATGCCAGGAGGCCGATGACGGCCAGATACACCGCTGTTCGCCTCATCTCTGCGCACAACCATTCGTGCTGGCACCTTTTGTGGTAAAGCCACCGTCTCGGCGCATACTGCCCCCCCATTACTGCACAATGCGCTCTATTTCTGCGCGTGGGCCCAACAAGCGCCCCCCCTCTCAAGCAAGTCTTCTCTGTTCGGTGTAGGGGCCTCATCATATGCTCCCGATGTCATGTGAATGTCCAAAGCGGCTGCGGACCTTGCAGACCCGAATGTCAGATTTTGCCTGGCAGGGGCGGTTTCTGACCTGGGGTCCGACACAGATATGTCCCTTCCTATTTCTATACCCTCGCTCTCCTCCGAATCCCCTCAGTACATGCCGAGGACATTATCCCAAGCTCCCCACGAGAAATGCGCCAGCCTCCTCCTCCTCCTCACTCCCCTGCCCTCCTCCTCCTCCTCCTCCTGCTCCTCCTCCTCCTCCTCCTCCTCCTCCTCCTCCTCCTCCTCCTCCTCCTCCCCTCCCAAACCTCCCCTGGAGGGAGGGAGGGCGTGGAGGCGGGGGAGAAAGAGCGGAAGCACTCAGCAAGACCTTGCGAGCACGAATCAGGAGATAGCGAACCAACCTGAGCCCGGACGATGGACGTAGAAGTCCACCCCCGAGCGGTCGCTGGGCGAAAAAGGAACGCGACGAACTGCAAGGGCGTTCCCCAGACATCCGACGTCTTGAATCTGTCAATACGGAGTCCCCCAACATCCCGACCCTTTCCCCGTGGCCGGTTTCTCATCCCGAGTCGTTTTTGTTGACTGTCCCAGGGCTCGGGACAGAAACGGCCAAAAACCTTCCGTCGCGACTATTTCACGGCGCGAGCATATCGGGGCCTTCTGGTGGGGAGGAGATTGTGTTTAATTGTTTACGGTAACTATCGTTAGCCGGGGTGGGGGTCTCGGCTAACCGTAATGCTTGGGCGGGTGGGGCAACCGAGGGTGGGGGTGGGCTGCGATCGCCACACCAGGCGCGCGAACACCAGCATGCGCATGCGGGGGGGGAGTTCCAGCCCCCCCACATCCACGTACGATCGTTCCCGTTACCAGTAGGGGCGGGTAACAACCGTTACGCGCCAGAGGATGAAAATTGAGCATGGACCGATCGCCCTGGCATTCCTACAGGCTTACCACGACTTGTACCTAGAACGACAAATACTCTGAGAACAAACTCGTGTTCTCAGAACATAAAGCAGGTTGATTCATGCAAGGCCGTCTCGCTCAGAAATGTTATGAGAACACTTCGTGCAAACAGAACACAGGTGGTTATCAGGAAATTGTTCGGTGGTCCTGTGGGCAAGCCAGGCCATTCCGCCATTGTTCTTTCTGTGGAAAACTGCCAAAAAAACATCTCGAGGAAGAAATCACCCCCCCGCCCCTTCGTGAGCGCGCGGCCGATCCTTCGGCGTCCTTGCGATCTCCGCCCGGGCCGCCGTGCAGGAGGCGCACCCGCTCCTTGCCTGGCATGCCGAACACCTCCGCGGTCGGGGGCGGCAGCGTCTCTTGCTTGCCGGGGGTGCTCGTGCTGCCTATGGAAGCGACCTGGCAGGTACACTCGTGCGCCTGAGGGAAGCCGTACTTGCAGGTACCTTCGGGAGCCTCAGCAAAGCGTACCTGCAGGTACTTTCGGGCTGCCCAGGGAAGCGTACTTGCAGGTATCTTCGAGCTGACCAGGGAAGCGTGCTTGCAAGTAGGCCAAGAACCATACGAAAACTTCAGTCTCAGAAAACAAACTCTGCAAGTTTCGTTATCTTAGAAAGTGGTCTCGGTATAGGCCTGGAATGCATACAGAACATTCCTGAAAAAAAAACAGCAACTGGATTAGGTTGCTGGAAAAAAAACGAAACGGGACGAATGGGGAAGAGTCGAAACTTTCAACCTATCAAAATCTCCAATCGACTCTGGGAGCAAAATTCCGCACGTTCCCCAAACAATGTTTGCACATAGGTGTTCTTACCCATTTTCTAAGGAACTGGGCGGCCCCGCGATTGCAGTCGCCGCACTGTCGCCGTCTCGTCGCAACCCGTCGTGTGGACCTCGGCGTTGGCTTCACGGCCTCATGTTCGCAGTCGCCGCCCCGTCGCCGCCTTGTCGCGGCCCGTCGTTTGGACCTGGGTGGTGGTCTGGCGGTTCCGTGCTCGCCGTCGCCGCCCAGTCGTCACCTCGTCGACGCGACAAGGACTGCGCCACATAAAATGCACCACGTAAAGTGCACAACATCGGTTGCACCACATGGACAGCACCACGTAAGTTGCATCACGTACGTTGCTCCACATGTGATGCACAACGGCCGTTGCGCACAACGTAGACTGTACAACACAGGTTATCCGTTCTGAGCATGAATGACGATCTACCACCACCACCTCTTGGGGTTATTCGTACGTGCCCTAAGGGGGGGGGCAGGATATTCACATCTGGTAACCATAAAACATGTCGTCCAAACAAGCCACGTATCGACCCTTCTCCCCATCCTCGTCAAATAATACTATGCGCGAACACCCGCTCATCAAAACCCAGAAACTGGCCCAACACCGTTGCAAACAAAACCCATACGCGCGCATCGTCTCGCACGCACGCCGACGTCCTTAAACAACCATTGGTGCCGTACAGATTTCAAAACCGAGTGCCCCGAGCAACGACGTTGTTCGAAAAAGTCGGCGTGCGCTCTTGCGAAGCCTTCGCGAACCATCGGCTTCCAACAGGTGTATCACATGCGACCAAAGGGGCCTCTGGCCCGCGCAAATCGAATTATTCGAACGCCCCTGCGCGCGTGTCGGGGGGGAGCGTCCCCCGTCAAATGACATCATGAGGGATATTCACGCGCGTAGGCCGCACGCGCATGTCGAAATCTGTCCCAACGCTTCGTCACCGGCATGTGGACACCATCACCATTTTCGGCGCGATGGGCATCGGCGCCGTCATTGGCCGCGCCGTCGTCCATCATCGTCACCAGCATCGCTTTTATCATCACCTTGCTTGCCGTTGTCGACGTCGCCATGATGCCGCGCCCGCCCGAAGTACCAACTCTCACTGAAACGCCCGCTCGTCAGCGCGGCCTGCGTGCGAGACGCGTCGGGACGGTTCCAGCGGTCAGCGCCACAGCGGCCACGTCGGTCACGCCAAACTATCTGGCGGCTCTGCGCGCGAGCCCGCGCGTGCTAACGCGGCCGCAGCGATGCACCAGTCCGCGTCAAGCGGACATCGCAATCGCCGCCGCACGGGTTTTGCAAACCAAGCTGCGGGCGGGTGGGTTGGACGATTGCACGAGCAGTGGAACTGACAACTTCAAGTTCGGCAGGGTGAACTGCACCATGTAGATTGCACAACATACCGTGCACCGCGTAGATTGCACAACCTAGACCACACAACCTAGATTGCTCCACGTTAGCTGCACAACATAGATTGCACCACAGAAACTGCACCACCTAGATTGCACCACATAGATTGCACAGCACAGGTTGCACAACATAGATCGCAAACAAAAACAATGTGTGCGGTCCACGCTTGCAAACATGCGAACAAAACTCAAACGCAGACGCGAACCAAGCGAAAACAATGGCGTTACAATTGCGTTTTGGTCTGCAGCGGGTTGGGCCCAAAAAGTGGACGGGCCAACAGCGGGACGCGCCTGCAGCTCATTACAGCGAACGTAAGGGAAGTGCAAAAAAGAGGGAGGAAGCGGCCGCAGAACGGCTAGAAAACATTCAGACCATGTAATTGTTCAAGAGGCGCTGCAGAGCAGGCTCATGATCTCAACGAACGGCGTAGCAAAAGAGGCAGTTACAAACACATCCGTCCCAATCTCCTGCCGTCAGATCTAGAAGCTGGAAGTGTGCTTCTTGGGTGCTTCAGCCCGGACTTGTGTGCAAGACGCCCTTCTCGAAAGCCTGCTGCGTCCAACGCGTCAGTTCATCTCGCGTTGGGGGGGCAGCAACTTCCTCCCTTCCCCTGGTCGCAGCGATTCTGGAGGCAGGTCGAAGGCAAACCTGACAAAATCACCCCCTCCTCCTCCTCCTCGTCCTCCTCCTCCTCCTTTTCCTCCACTTCCTCCTCGTCCTCCTCATACTCCCTAACCTGGAGGGTGACAGAAGGAGCGGGGGAGAGAGAGGGGAGAGAGGAGCAAAGCGAGCAGAGAGAGGGAGGAAAGGGACGAAGAGGATCGCGCGCCCTTGACGGGAGAAAAGCAAAGAGAAAGAGAGAGAGAGAGAGAGAAACAGGGACTGAGATAAAGACAGAGACAGTGACAGATACATGCACCATCGACAAACGAAGCGAAAGACAGAGCGACAGGGAGACAGAGAGAGACAGAGAGAAAAAGACCGCACAAGTCGGACACCCGGGTCTCGATACCAGCGGGACTGGAACGCTGCGTGCCAGGCTGTATTTTCCCAGAGGCCAGGGCCAAGGCCTGAAGAAACGCAACACGCGGCCACACGCTGCTGCGACGGCACTGCTGCAATGTCCCGCCGCCGTCGCCGCTGCGGTCGTCGTCGCGGTCGCTATCGCGGTCGCTATCGCGGTCGCCGTCTCCGCCGTCGCGGTCACCGTCGCCATCGCCGCCACCGTCGTCGCCGTCGCCATGGCCGCCGCGACGCCGTTAACGTCGTCGTCGTCGTCGCCGTTGCCGTTGCCGTCGCCGTCGCCGTCGCCGTCGTCATCGCCGCCGTCGTCGTCGACGTCGCCATCGACGCCGTCGCCGTCGCAGTCGCCGTCGCCGACATCGTCATCGTCGTCGTCGCCGTCGCCGTCGTCGCCGTCGTCGCCGCCATTGCCGCCATCGCCGTCGCCGTCGCCGTCGCCGCCGTCAGGGTCGCCGTCGCCATGACCGCCGCCGTTGTCGCCGTCGCCATGGCCGCCGCCTCCGCCGTCGCCGTCACCGCCGCCGTCACCGCCGCCGTCGCCGTCGTAGTCGCCATCGCCGTCGCCAACGCCGTCGCCGTCGCCGCCGTCTCCGTCGCCGTCGTCGCCGCCATCGCAGTCGCCGTCGCAATCGCCGTCGCCGTCGCGGTACCCGTACCCGTCGTCGTCGCCGTCGCCATCGCCGTCGCCGTCACCGTCGCCGTCGCCGCCGTTGCCGTTGTTGCCGTCGCCGTCGCGGTCGTCGTCAACGTCGCCGTCGTCGTCGACGTCGATGTCGTCGTCGCCGTCGCCACGCCGTCGCCGTCGCCGCCGGCTCCGTCGCCGTCGCCGTCGCCGTCACCGTCGCCGTCGTCTGCGTTGCCGTCGCCGTCGCCGTACCCGCACCCGTACCCGTCGCCGTCGCTGTCACCGTCGCCGTCACCACTGCCGCAGCCGTCGCCGTCGCCATCGCCGTCGCCGTCGCCGCCGTCGACGTCGCCGTCGACGTCGCCGTCGCCGTCGCCGTTGCCGTTGCAATCACCGTCGTCGTCGTCAACGTCGCCGTCGTCGTCGACGTCGCCGTCGTCGTCGACGTCGATGTCGTCGTCGCCGTCGCCGTCACCATCTTCGCCGCCGCCGTCGTCGTCGAGGCCGTCGTCGTCGTCGTCGTCGTCGTCGTCGTCGTCGTCGTCGTCGTCGTCGCGGCCGCCGCTGCCGCCGTCGCGGTCGCGGTCGCCGTCGCCAAAGCCGCGTCGCCATCGCCGTCGCCGTCAACGTCGCCGTCGCCGTTGCCGTCGCCATCGCCGCTGCCGCCGCCACCGTCGTCGTCGTCGTCGTCGTTTTCGTCGTCCGCGTCGTCTTCTGTGCCCTTGTCGCTCTCCTCGCCCATGTCGTGCCCTCAAGATCGCCGTTGTCGTCGCCCTCGTCCTCGTCGTCTCCCTCGTCGTCGCCCTTGTAGGTGTCTTGCTGGCTTGAGTGCGCACTGATCCGATGCTCCGCTCGACCCGCCCGACCGCCCGTTAGAGTCTGCCCGCCCGACACGCCCGTCAAGGCCCGTCCGCCCACCCGCCCGCCCTGGTCGTCAAGGCCCGCCCCGCCTGTAAGGGCCCGCCCGCACGTCGCAACCGTTGCCTTCATAGGCGCTGCCAACCAGCCGAATTTCAACCCAGTCGACCAGCGGAACGGCCAAGCACCCAACCAACCAAACAACCAACCAACCAGCCAGCCAGCCAGCCAACCAGCCAACCAACCAATCAACCAGGCAACTGGGCGGCGGGACCCTGATTCAATCCCCTAGCAATATTGGGAGGATGTCTCATGCGACGGGCACCAAATTTATTATGTTGGGTCGAAAAAGTTGCTACTAACGCTTAAAACCCGATGAACCCTGAAGTGCCCAGAGGCCCTTCAGAAGCCCCCCAGGAGGCCCCAAAGAGACCTCCAGGAAGTCCCAAGAGGCCCCCACGAGGCTCCCAAGCGGCTTCCAAGAGCTCCCCAAGATGCCCCCAAACTACCCCCAAGAGGCCCCCGAGAGCGCTCGTCGTCGTCGTCGTCATTCAGAGTCGGCGGCACGGGCCGCAAGGCCTTCACAGTCCGATGAACCCTGAAGAGACATGTTCCCCAGTGTGCACACGCATCCTGGGGCACGAGCCACCCAGCTACCGGATGACGTTGGAAAACGAATACGTGCAATGCCCCCTCCCCCTCCCTGGGCCATTTGCCCCCGCCGCGGCCGCCACGGCCTCCCAGCCCTCGCGCACGTCCTCCTCTCGAGACCCACCACGGCTGCAGTTTCTCGGGCGCGCCAACGTTCTGGCTTACCAGAGGCCCCGCTCGGGGGGGCCCTGGCGGAGAGCGCCAGGGGTCAGGGGCGGCGCCAGAGGCGCCGCCAGTGGGAGGCCCAGCACCGATCCAAGAAATCTGCGCGGACCTCCGAATGTTTACGCATACGCCGATATGTTGCTTGGATCCTCGTCCGCCGCCATCTTCCTCGCCGGTTTCCCCCTTCGTCCTCGCCCTCGCCCTCCTGCCACTTGTTCCTGCCTTCCCCGTCCTGCCCCCCGGTTGCAAACGAGACGGGGGCAAGGGGCCGGCTCCTGGAATAGGCGCGGGTACTTTTGGATCTGGCTCCGTAGTCCACCCTTCTCCTTGATGCTGGTCCGGATCTCCTCGTGGCCATAAGGGGGAAGAGCGGGAGAGGGAGTGAGAGAGCAGACAGGGTGAGAGAGAGAGATAGAGACCGCGAGAGAACAGACAAGAGAAGAGGGAGGAGGAAGAAGAAAGAACCACTCCGTTGGGGACTCGTTCGCCCCTGGTGATATTTTTTTAAAATAATAAAAAAAAAAAAAAAAAAAAAAAAAAAAAAAAAAAAAAAAAAAAAAAAAAAAAAAAAACGCACGCGCCAGCTTGCTGTCCATCTCGCATATCGTGCCGGGGAGTCCGGGGGCCACGCCACCCTCAGTCGCAAACGGCACAACAAGACGTGGTGAGGGAAAGGTCCGCTTCCCCTCAAGGGGGCTATCACCGCACCCATCGAAAGCCGCAGCGAATGGCGTTGAAACTCCATAGCTGTAGATATCGAAGGTGGCCGGCCGGGTAAACGTCACCACATTCAGGGAGCAGGAGGAGGAGGAGGAGGAGGACGACGACGAGGAGGAGGAGGAGGAGGAGGAGTAGGCGGGGAAACAATCCAAAACACCTGGAGCGGCGCAGGCCAACCTGCCATAGGCGAGCCGTTGCGCGCTGCCGGGGAATCGGGACCCTGGCAAAACTGCATAGTTATACAACTATCTGGGCCCAAGCTCCGTGAATGACCACGTAAACTTAAAATCCCGACGAGCACCAAAGCGGTGGGTGCACAGCGACTTAAACAAAAAGTGAAACCGAGGGGCTGACCAGGCCCACGAGATCAACGACTAGGGGGGGGGCAAGGCAAAGAAGGAACGAGACGGACGGGGAAGAGGGGAGGAGAACTCTGGTGATAAATGTCGAGAAGCCAGAAACAACGAGGAGGAGGCAGGGAGGAAGGAGAAAATGGAGGGGGATTGTATTGGACAGCTCCGAGGACTGCACGTATCCACTTCCCCTGGCGAGGCGCATCCTGGCCCCAAGAGCAGTGGGTACGTCGCCCCTGGCTCGGCCCGGGTGGCACATGCACGGATCCTGTGCCCAAGATGGGCCTGGCCAGGAGCGACGAGGCAGAAAGATTCCAGAAGTCTGGGCAGAGCCTGGAGGGGGAGGCGCCCATCGGAAAGGAACCCTCTTGCACGATCGCCGCTCACCCGGGCTCTCCTGGGGCGCGCTCTGGCCAGGATTTCAAAACAACCCAGGTCAAAGCAACCCTGGCTCTGCAGGATCCTGCAAAATCCGGAGCTCTGACTGACCCCCATTTGCATCGACCCCCGTCCTTTAAGCCTCGCACCGAAATCGCCTGAACGGTCGTTTCGATCATTCGGCCATTATTGAAATCAGCTGCCCATTAAGAGGGCTGACCGCACGCGACAAAGCAGCCGACAGCACTGCATTATGAAGGCAAAAGCCTGCAGACGAGCCCTTTGCTGTGGCCCCCGTCCCTCTCCCTCAGACCTCCGACGTCACGGTTCACCGGTGACGTGGACCCCCCCCAAGTGTTCCAACCCTCACAGGCGGGTCGGGCAGGCGGCCCCCCCAACAGGCGGAGCGGGCGGGCGACGCGCGCGCGCTGAGCGGTCGTGGCGCCGCGCGGCGGCGCCCAACGCCTCGAGAGGCGGTGCCCAGCTCAGCTTTGCAGCGGGTGGGCGGCGAAACACGCGCACTCGTCCCTGACCCCTCAGGATTCCCAGGACCCCCTGAGCTTCGCAGATCCCCCCGCACTCCCAGGACCGCCATGGCTCCCAGCGTCTCAGGGCTCTCCAGACTCCCCAAAGGAGGAGGAGGAGGAGGAGGAGGAGGAGGAGGAAGAGGAGGAGGAGGAGGACCAGGAGGACCGAGGAGGAGGACCAGGAGGAGGAACCCCAGGCCGCGAAGGACCGCTTGGCCACCCCAGGCTCCCAGGACCCCCAGGACTCCTCGGGACTTCCTAAACTCCCAGGACCCCCTGCTTCTCGGGGCGCCCCAGACTCCACTCACTCCCAGGACCAACCTTGACAGCTTGGACCGCCCAGGAGACCCCAGACTCCCCAAACTCCCAGGACCCCCCTGACTCCGCAGCAGCCCCAGACTCCTCAGACCCTCAGGAGTCCATGGGCTCCCAAGACATCCTAGACTCCCCAAACTACCAGGCCTTCCTGGACTTCTCAGGACTCCCCAGACTCCGAGGACTTCGATGCCCAGCCAAGGACGGTGACATGGATGCCACTCTCCTTGGACGGATGCCACTCTCATAAGATGCCGCCGTCCTTAGACACCACTTAATATGTCACCTTCCCTGGCCGATCCGATACATCCACGCGGACCTCAGAAAGTTCGCGTCTGTGCCGTTTTCTGCCCCTCGAGCCGCAGGCCCTGCGAACCAGGCCGGGCCGCAGAGGTCGAGCACGGCGGCCTCGAGAGCGCCGAGAAGCCCAGACATCCGATGCCTTGCTTTTTTCGACACGGGGTTCCCGGAAGCCCCGACCTTTCTGCGAGGCGGTGGTTTATCCATATCCACCGCCTGGGAACCGACGTCCTGGCGCCCCAGCGGGCGGCGGATACGGATATATCTCGGCCCCTGGGGGCCCGAATATGTCCATATCCACCGCCTGCCGAGGCTCCGAAAACTGACCCTCCAGGCGGTGGTCATGTATAAATTCCCGCCCCGACCCCTTCCCCCCGGGGCAAATGTTTCATCGCGACCCGTTTTCTGACGGTCCCGGGCCCCAGCGAGGGCCCCCAGAGGCTGCAAACGGCGGCCCCTGATGCCGAGAGCGGCGGCCAACACAAACCAGCCGTCGCGATGTCTTCGTCACGACGCGAGCATGCTTCGGGGGTGGTGGGGGAGCGAACCGGCAGCAATACCACTTCTCCCCGAACAGAACTGCGAGGACAGCCCTCTCCAGGGGTGCTCTCGAGGAGGAGGACGAGGAGGAGGAGGAGGAGGAGGAGGAGGACAAGGAGGAGGAGGAGGAGAAGAAGGAGGAGACCTCTCCAGGGGCGCGCTCTGAACAGAACTGCGAGGACAGCCCAGGCGCGGCGACCAGAGCTCTCCAGGTGCCTGCCTCCTTCGAGAGGGGCCGAGCCCCACCGAGGCGTCCTTGGGAAGCACAGTCCCCAAATCTGGGCCCCTCGCTCCCCCCGGTGCCTCCTCCCCCGCCGTCCCCCTGCCTCCACTGTGCTCCGTGCTCCTCCCTCCTCCCCTCCTCCCTCCCTCCTCCCTCCCTCCGCCTCTCCCTCTCCCCTCCCCCCCCCCCGACCTCCTTCCTTTTTGGATGGATACCCTAATTGTATCCCCATGTTGTCCCTCACCAGGACGGGGAAAGGAGGCTTTTCATTTTGCCGCTTCATCTTGAGCCAAAATTGGCCGGCACACTGACATAATTCGGATGGGCGCGGGGTTGGTGTTGCCACTCTCCCCGCGATCACGACGCTCATAATTTGACAGACATGTGATGCTGCTATTGTCGGGACAGCAGAGCGCTTCCGAAACATGGCCGAATGTGGAAAAACGACGCCCGTGGAGCGGGCTGAAGCGGACACGGCGGGAACTGACCCGGCAACAATGTGTCTTACAATGCCTGGCCTAGTCCACTGTGGAATCCTAGAACCCGGATGCCGCCACACACATGCGGAAGCAACGGTCATGTCACGAATTTCCGCTTTGCCGACCCAGTTCTTCCACGCTCCCGCCCTTCTCCGCTGCTTCCCCCTCCCTCCCCCTCCTTCCTCCCTCCTCCCTCTTCCTCTGGGAGGGGTAAGCCCCGCCGAGGCGTCCTTGGGGAGCATGGCCCCCATGTCGCTCAGCAGCACCGCGTGTCCCTCTCGCTGCGACAGCTGCCGGGTCACCTCCACCAGCAGCGAGACCTCGAGCCCGCTCAGGCCGTGCGGGAGAGAGTCATGGCCGCACGGGTCGTGGCCCGCCAGGAGCAGCTGGGCTGACGCCTGGTGCAGGGGTAGGGGGTCTGCGCGGCGGCCTCGGTCTCCCTGGGGCCGATGTCCTCCTGGTCCTCCTCCTGGTCCTCCTCCTGGTCCTCCTCCTGGTCCTCCTCCTCCTCCTCCTCCTCCTCCTCCTCCTCCTCCTCCTCCATACCTCTTCTTGATAAGTACCTCCCCCCTGTCGCACCCAGAGACGTGTCGGTAGGGCGGGCTGGTCGTTTCGCGTGAGACTCTCTCGCCATGTCTGAGTCTTAAGCTTCAAATTTTCACTGCACCGACCATGCAGACGTGCTGTAACGGACTTTTGCGTGGATCTCTGCCAAAGCAAAACCCAAAATGGCGAGCGAAAGACGAAGTGAATTTCACGTGGATGTTTGCTTCATTCTGGCCAATAGAAGAATCCGCGCGGAATTCACCTCAAAATCCGGAACGAAATTCTCCAGAACAGTCTGGGCCCATCCGACCGTTTTCCGAACGAAATCCGCTCTGCGACGCTGGCGCCATGCAAATTTGGAAGAGCTCCACGGATGGAGCGCGGGTCGCTTGAAAGATCTAGCTCTCATGTGTCTCTCGCCTTGGCACCGCGCACATTCGTCTTACGTAAATCGTAGCACAAGTTTCACGGATGGAGGGCGGATCCTTTTCAACATGTGGTTCTCGCCACAGCGCCGCGTACATTCGTTTTCAAAGTTTACAGCAGTCTCCAAGATGATTATGGATGACGCCCCAGAAACTGCGTTCTGGCACGATGCAGAACTGCCAGGGCAAAACAATAATGTTGATTCGCGGTGTTGAAGTCCGAGGAATGACGTTCTGGCACGATTCAGGATCGTCCCAAGACCGATGTTCTGGCACGGCTCAGGATTGTCGAACGGCTGTTTTTCCAACTGGGCACTTTTCTCCGTGAACATTAATCCTTGTAGTGACCTGTGAAGAAGGAATTTGGAGGGAGGGTTGATTACACTATCGCTGATCGGTCTTGTGTTTACGCTGGTCCTCCTCATCCTCCTCCTCCTGCTAGTCCTCCTCCTCCTCCTCCTCCTCATCATCATCATCATCATCATCAGCATCAGCATCAGCATCAGCATCATCATCATCAGCATCATCATCATCATCATCATCATCATCATCATCATCATCATCATCATCATCATCATCATCATCATCATCATCATCATCATTGTCATCATCATCATCATCTTACTTCCTCCCGCCTTCTCTTCCTCCTCCTCCAATTCCTCTTCCTCCTCCTCCTTCTCCTCCTCCTCTCTCCATTCCTTTTCCTTATAGATGAATCCTCTCTGTCGCACCCCGGGGCCAATTTTTAGGGCGGGCTGGGCGTGTCGCCTGAGACTTCTTCACCACTTATGACTCTGAAGCCTAAACCGTGACAACAGTTACACAGATGGAGGGCGGGTCGCTTTCAAAATGTGGTTCTGGCCTTAGCGCCGCGCACACTCGTTACAAATAACTCAAGAAATTCACGGATTGAGGGCGGGTGCTTTTCAAAATGTGGTCCTCGCCTTAGCGCCGCGCACAATCGTCTTAAAACTTTGCAAGAGCTTCACGGATGGAGGGCGGGTGGTCTTCAATATGTGGCTCTCACCTCAGCGCCGCGAACCTTCGTTTCGAAAGTGTGTAAGAGCTTCACGGATTGAGGGCGGGTGGTTTTCAAAATGTCCCTCTCGCCTTGGCGCCACGCACATTCGTTTTAAAAAATTCGCAAGAGCTTCACGGATTGAGTACGGGTGGTTTTCAAAATGTGGCTCTTGCCGTAGCGCCGCGCACATTCGTTTGAAAAATTGCAAGAGTCTCACGGATTGAGGGCGGCTCCTTTTCAAAATGTGGCTCTCGCCTTAGCGCCGCGCACATTCTTTTAGCAGAATTTGCCAGGGAATTTCACGGAATACCATGGTCAGCGCACCAGAAAAAATGTTTTGGAAGGATTCAGAATTACGCGGGCGCAAAAATTATGTTTGACTGGCACGATTCCGGATCGTCAAGACGCAGCAGTCAGGTTGATACGTGGCGTTGAAATCCCAAGAACAATGTGTTGGCACATTTCAGGATCTTCAAAATGTTGTATTCCAACGAAAAAGTTCCATCAATGGAAGTGAACCGTCGTAGGGACCTAAAGATGGAGATTGGAGGGAGGGTTCATTCACACATCGTTGATGACACCTGGGTTTACACTGGTCCTCCTCCTCCTCCTCCTCCTCCTCCACTCCTTCTCCTTATAAAATAACTTCTCCCTGTCAAACCCCGAGGCCAGTTTTTAGGAAGGGCCGGGACTTTCGTCTGAGATTTCCTCACCATTCATGACACTGAAATTTAAAAAGTGACAACAGCTTCACACACCGAGGGCGGGTCGCTTTCACAATGTGGCTCTCGCCTTAGCGCCCTGCATATTCGATTTGAACAGTTGCAAGAGCTTCACGGATTGAGGGCGGATGCTTTTCAAAATGTGTTTATCGCCCCAGCGCCGCGCACATTCTTTGTAAACATTTGCAAGAGCTTCACGGATTGAGGGCGGGGGGGGTCCAAAATGTCGCTCTCACCGTAGCGCCGCGCACAATTGTCTTAAAACATTGTGCAAGATATTCACGGATTGAGGGCGGGGGGGTTTCAAAATGTGGCTCTCGCCGTAGCGCCGCGCACAATTGTCTTAAAACATTGTGCAAGATATTCACGGATTGAGTGCGGGTGGTTTTCAAAATGTGGCTCTCGCCTTAGCGCCGCGCACATTCGTTTTTTTTTTCTGAATTGGTAAGAGCTTCCAAATTACCATGGTCAACGCACTAGAGATGGCGTTTCGGAGGGATTCAGGATTATGCGGGCGCAGCAAATATGATGACTCGCTGTGTTGAAGTCGCACATGGCATTCTGGCACGATTCCGGATCGTCAAGACGCAGCAGTCAGGTTGATACGTGGCGTTGAAATACCAAGAACAATGTTTTGGCACATTTCAGGGTCTTCAAAATGCTGTCTTCCAGCGAAGAAGTTGAACCGTTGTAGGGACCTATGGGAATTGGAGGGAGGGTTCATTCACACATCGTTGATGACTCTTGGGTTTACACTGGTCCTCCTCCTCCTCCTCCTCCTCCTCGCCATCCTCTGAGAGCCTGCGCAGAGGCTGCTCGGAGGCCTCGGAAGGCGCGGGGCCGGCGGCGCAGAGAGAGCTTAGGAGACAACGTCTGAGAGGCCCTCGCAAGAACGATGACGAGCTACTGGACACGATTAGGGGGCCATGAAGCCGCATTGGCCCAAGCCGCGCTCAGGAATAAGCCCGATTATGCCGAATTGAGCGGGACTGCACGGAATTACTGGGGACTATGCCGGGTTGGGCCGGCTTTCGACCATGGATGTACCAGCGCCGATGCCGAACGCAACTTGCCTAAAGTTGCGTCCTGCGAGAGCGCGCCGCCGCGCGGGGTTGATTGCGCAACGGGGGTCATGGCGACCCTGGCCCCCGACGCTGTGGGATTGGCGACCAGGCAGCAAACTTGGGGCCCAGCTCTAGAATATACAACGGGAGGGGGAGCGTTTTCAGCCTAGACGGGGGTGCGTCCGAGTGAATAGCCCCCCAGGGGTGCATCCCTGGGGAGCTCCCTCCCTTTCTGAGCGGCCCGTTCTTCAGAGGAGGAGCTCGGGGATTGGGGGCTGGAACGCTAGAACGGCGCTCATGCACCGTGCCATGGCTCGACTCCCTTGAGGCCCCAGTCCAGCGAGGTACGCATAGTTGTTCGGCACTGAATGCCGACAAACTATGCACTGTACAGCTCCTGGCTCGAACATTGACGACGCCTCGGGAGACACCAACGCGGTACGGTTCATACAGGTCGTCCGCGGATAGACGAAATCTTCAGCGGGTGCGTGTGGGCGAGCGGCGCCTTTCCCTCCCTCCGTTGGCAACCGGCCTCTGAGCAGACCCCCAGGCCTCGAGCAGGTCGAGGCTGTGCGGGAGCCCCCGCCCCGTCCGCCCACACGCCTTCAGTCTGCCCAACTATCCCCACAGCAGTGCTCGGCCCGGCGCGCGGACACCCCCTAGGCGGCCGAAGCACGGGAAGGAAGCATGCTGAATCGAAGCAAGTGGAGGCACTTGGACGCATCTCCTCCTCATCCTCCTCATCCTCCTCCTCCTCCTCCTCCTCCTCCTCCTCCTCCTCCTCCTCCTCCCCCTCCTCCTCCTCCTCCCCCTCCATGGCAGCGGTCAGACGACTAGGCTATGCAAGCGAGCGCAGGCACAATGGGGAAGCGAGCCGAAGCATGTGGAGGAAGGACCGAGCTGGGCGAGTCTGGGACAGGGCCGCACGGGCGAACTTCCGGTGCGGGCGAGGCACCAGACCGAGCCAGAGAGCCGGGAGGGAGGGCAATGCCGAACGAGGACAATTGGTGGCCGGCAGGAGTGGCATTGGCCCGGGCTGGAAGTGCTCGGGAATGGCGCAGATCGGATGATCGGAGCGCATCAGGAGCAGGCTGTCCTCGGATGTCCCGACCCCTTCCCCAGGGCGGTTCTTCATCCCGAGTCGGTTTGACAGGCCCCTTGAGGCCCAACACCTCTTGTGACGATTTTCTCACGACGCGAGCTTGCCTGGGTCCCGAAAGCTGCCCAACACCTCCTGTGACGATTTCTGTTCACAGCGCGAGCCTGTCTGGGCCCCTCCCTCCCCCCAATGCCTCCTCCCTCCTCCCTCGGCCTTCCCCTTGCCTCCACGATGCTACCATGCTCCCCTCCTCCCTCGCTCCCTCCTCCCTGATCCCCCCCTTCTTCCTCCTCCTCCTCCTCCTCCTCCTCCTCCTCCGCCTCCGCCCCTCCTCCTCCCTCCTCCTCCTCCTCCTCCTCCTCCTCCTCCTCCCCCTCCTCCTCCTCCTCCCTCCTCCTCCTCCTCCTCCTCCTTCCTCCTCCTCCTCCTCCTCCTCCTCCTCTTCCTCCTCCCCCTCCCCCTTCCTCCTCCCCCTTCCTCCTCCTCCTTCTCCTCGGAGGAGGAGGAAGGAGGAGGCTCCTCCTCCTCCTCGTCCTCCTCCTCCTTCTTCGTCTTCTTGTTTCTGCTTCTTCTTAGTATTATTAATATGCTCCTTATCAATCGTCTTATTATTATCCGTATTATTATTAATTAAAAATCGGATTAATATCATTCGTTTTCTTATTATTATCAGTATCCGTCGTAGTAGTCTTCTTTTTCGTCTTCTTAGTGTTATTAGTATTCGTATTCGTATTCTTCTTCGCACTAGTATTCTAAGTAGTATTATGATCATGATTATGAGTATGCTTATGCGCCGTAGTATTATCATTATTATTCTTCTCATTATCATTCGTCTGATTTGTATTCGTACTCGTCTTCGTTTTCTACTTCGTCTTCTTATTCGCATGTTTCGTCTTCCTCCTCCTCCTCCTCCTCCTCCTCCTCCTCCTCCGCCTCCGCCTCCCCCGCCGCCTCCGCCTCCGCCTCGGCCTCCGCCTCCGCCTCCGCCTCCGCCTCCGCCTCCTCCTCCTCCTCCTGCTCTTCCCCCTCCTCCTCCTCCAGTTCCTCCTCCTCCTCCTCCTCTCCCCTCCGCCGTCATCACCCCCCTCCCTCCAGCCCTCCTCCTCCCCTATTCCCCCCTCTTCCCCCCCTGCCGTTCTCCCTCATCCCTCCTTCTCGTCCCTCTTCCATTCCCCCTCCTCTCTCCTCACTCCCCCGTCCCCTTCAGTCGCTCCCCTCCGCCTTCTCCTCCTCCTCCTCCTCCTCCTCCTCCTCCTCCTCGTCCTCCTCCTCCTCCTCGTCCTCGTCCTCCTCCTCGCCCTCCGGTCTTTCTTATTGCTCCTCCTCGCCCCCTCCCCCGCAAACACTTCCCAGAGTCGTCGCCTTCTCGGCGTCGATTCCACCGCCAGGCCGACCTGAGGCTGGCCAAGAAGGGAAGAGGGCAAAATCGGGTCGGACGACGAGGGGGGATAGCAAAGGGGGGGTGAGCGAAGCAGCTCGCGAAGTTGTCTTTCCCGGTGCCTCGTAGCTCCAGAAGCGCCAAGGTATCGAGGAAAGCGCCCAGCGACGGGGCCGAAACCAGCTGCACGCAGCAGAGTTTGTCCCCGCCCCCGTTTCCCCATATCCCCCCCCCTTCCGCCCGACCCGGGATAAAAAGGAGGAGGAGTCCACGTAAACGTACACAGGGGAGACGAGCGACGAGGCGTGCATGCAACTCAGACGCCGCTGCTGCTGGACTGGCAGGGCAAAAGGGGGGCAAATGCCTCGCACTGCAGAGTAATACCTCACGTGTCGTGCAGCTGGGGTCTACACACGTGGCAGTCGACCATGGAGCCCTCCCTTACTACCCATCGATTTCCGGCGGTCTTCGGCTTTTTCTCGCGGTGTTCGGCGGTGTCTGGCGGCGCTCGGCGGTCTTCGGCGCGAAAGCTGGATGGCTGCGTGCACTCTGAAGGCAGAGAACTCATGAACATGGGCCCTGGAAACTTCACCTACATTATAGCTGGGCACAGGGCGTGCCCCCGCACGAGCGAGGGGGCACGACGACAGATAGATGCGACCTTGGAGGTCGCGCTGGCCCTAATCGCGTAGCACGGGCACGCTGGGATCCTCGGGATAATGGCGGCGGTAGCTGGCAGCAGGTTGATGGGCCCACAGGTGCTATGCTGGCTACGCTTCGCAGGCTCGGCTGGACCCCACTCCGCTGAGACCGTTGGGAGACGTCAGCTTAGCTGGTGGTTGATTTGCGGGAGTACGGGGCCAGGACGGTCAAGGCTCTGGTGGACGCGGGGACCAAGGATGCACTTCTTCGGGATCTGAGCCTCCAAGGCGAGGCGTTAGGTGCTGGCGCTGCGCCCCTGTGCCCGTACCTTGAACAGCTCCGTGAGGTGTGCCAAGATTTCCGCGTGTCTGGCAAGGCCCTGGAGGCTTCTCTCCTCGCCGCTGTGGCGTCGGGAGGTATGGCTAGCCAGGTTGACCTCTTCCTGGACCGCCGTTCGATCTCGATGGAGTGTAAGCTGTGCGGGCGCCCGTGGGGCTCTAAGCAGCACAGGTTTTACAATTGCCCTGCCACGCACGGGTTTAGGCAGAATATGGGGTTCGATCGTTTGGTCCGAGCTGGTGCCCGTGCGGTTTCGGCTGAGTGGCGCCTGTTCTACACTAGAGGCCTCATGGCGTCCCCCATTACGTTTTCTCCAGGGCCCCTGGTGCAGGAGCCGTGGAGGTGGCATGTTTTCCCGAGGTCTGGCCAACTGGTCGACGTGATCTGCTTGGACGGCTCGGCTCTTGACCCCACTCTGCCGTGGTGCTCTCAAGCTGGTTGGTCCGCGGATTCAATGACTCCGACTGGCCAGATCCTAGGTAGCATGTACGGCCCCCTTCCGCACCCCCTGCAGACTTGTCTCGGGGGAGAGCTTTGGGCGCTGTACATGGCCCTGCTCAATGCGGACGTGGGGCCACTTGAAGTATGGACGGGTTACAAGGTGCTGATTGACATTTGGAGCCTTGGCCCAGACCAGGATGTGTCGCGTTTGGCGCTTGCTGAGGTTTGGGAGAAAGTCTTGCCCAAAGCTCGAGATATAGGCTGGAGCCATATCCAGCGTTTTAAGATCAAGGCTCATCTGTCCTGGAGCCAGGCGTCTGCCCAGGGGTACCCATCCTACGCGTGGAAAGGCAACCAGGAGGCCGATCGTCTTGCGAAAGAAGGGGCCCTGCTGCAAGAGCAGGCCGATCTGCTCCACAGCTGGCACAGCTCCAGGATGGAAGGAATTAAGCAGGTAGGTAAGTTTCTTGGGTTGATGTTGGGAGAGCTGTCTCGGGGGGGCCTCAAGGATGTCGAGCGCTGCAAGGGCAGTGGCAAGGCTCTGAAGGCCCCCCGTGATGCCCCTCAGCTCGAATTAGTCGCCAACCCCAACGGACACACGATCTGTAGAGAGGGTCAGAGTTTTGTATGTGAGTGTTGTGGAGACAGGGGCAGGTCCAGACGTGCACTGGCGGCCTTCCCCTGCCCTGGCATCCCCGCAATTGCTGCGAGGGCGCACCCGTCACACGTTCGCTGGATGGGCTCTGGACCTTTGGGGACGGTGGTGTGGTGTCGAAGATGCGCGGCATTCGGGGTTGTCCGCTCACGTTACTTGAAAGACAGGTGCAATCAGCACCCCCGCAATGCGGGGGCTGAGAAGTCCCTCGCCTTGCTCCTGACGGGCAAGGACCCCGGCTCGAGGGCAGTGTTCGGTCGGAGTGTCTTGGTCCAGCGCGGGAGGTGAGGTCCTCGGCGCTGGCCTGGTGCAACGCACTGCCCTCGACCCTGTCTTCCTTTTTGCCGCGGGTCTTGCACTGCGGAATCCGTGTTGTTGGTGAAACTGGTGAAACAGGAGGAGGAGAAGGAGCGCCACTGCCCAAGAAGAAACGAGGACGGGCGGCCAAGAGCAAGAGACGAGAAGAGGAAAGCCCCAGTCCCTGTCCCAGCGCAACGCCACGCCGCGAGCCACGCCGCAACGCGCATCGCCGCAGGCGCCCTCAACCAATGATGTCGTTGTGCTCGCGCCCAGCGCCTCCGTGAGGACCAGCATGAACACCGCCCTGAATTCCATAAGGGCTCTCAGCGCGATCACCTCCATCGCCCCGGGCAACACTGCGAGGAACACCACCGGCATCCCCGTGTCGATGAGCACCAACGTCCCCAAGATGGTCCCTACCATGATCAGCATCAGGCACTAGACATCTACGCGGACCACGAGGAGCGCCTCCGGGAGGCCAATCCTGGGATCCAGCGCCAAGCAGCATCAGGTCCTCGCGCGTCGCAATCCCCATGCTGATGTCGTGCAGGAGGGCGTAGACGCTGTCGTAAGGATTAGCACACGCATCTTCTTCAAGAATGGGAAAGCCGTGTAGACCACCGCCAACACAAGCCTCGCCACGAGGAGCATCACGACAACCTCCATGCGGAGCATCACGAGCATCGCCAAGAATATCAGAATGGCGATGAGCAGACAGGACCACCTCCCAGAAACTCGGCATGAATACCACCACGTCCAATACGATCGCCGCCACCTGGGGGATCAGCATCAGGGCAGGCAACTGGGCGCAAGATAATGCTGACGTGCGTCTCGCCATCACTTTTCGAGTGGCCGTGGCCGACAGAGACCACGTCATGGAGGTTCATCTGGACACTCTGCATCCACAGCGCGAGGAAGCTATTGCGCACGAGCTCGCCGTATACAGGCAGCAAGACGATGTTCAAGACCGCCCGATCTGTGAAGGTCGCCATCCGGACGCGCGCCTGCCGCCCGGCCGCGAGCTGCGCCACGACCCACTCCAGCCTGGCACCAACAGCCATCGCACGGCAGCGGGGAAAGGGAAGGGGGAATGGGGGAGAGCGGGACTGCACGTGCAATCGGAAGGCCGCCGCGGCGCACGAGCACCTGAAACGGAGGACGAGGAGGAGGCGAGGAGGAGGAGGAGGAGGAGGCGGAGGAGGAGGGAGGGAATGGAAGAGGATGGAGAAGAATGAAAGGGAAAGGAGGCGGGAGGAGAGCGGGTCAGAGGGACGAGGGGGGCGGAAGGGACGAGGCGAGGCAAGGGAGGAGAGCCGAGGAGAGGCGAGAGAAGAGGGAGGACGCAAAAGAAAGGGGAGAGGAGACCGGCTGCTGCAGCCGTTGCAGAACCGCCAGGGGGGTGCGCTTAAAATTTGAAAATCAAATTTTTATTCGGGGTTTTGAATTAACCCTTTCACCGAAATCGCTGCCGAGGGCCACCCAATCTATCAGCTCCACGCGAATCCTCTGCAAACGCATGAGCACGGCCGAGAGAAAAGACCCAGGGCCCGGCGCCGCGACTCCGGCGCCAGCCCTGCCCAGATAACCTCCCAGGCCTGGCGGAGCTCGGCAAAAATGAAACATGAACGGCAAGCACGTGCATGGGCATCCCCGAGCTCTTCTGCATACCTAGCGAGTGGCGCGACAACCGCCAGCCACGTGGGCCCATTCTCAAAAGTGAGCAGGCACGTTAAAAGTCCGTTCCTACAACTGGATCCAATGACAGAGCCCGCCTGCTGACGGAATTCCCGGAGCCCCCCATCCGAGAACCTCGGAAACGCGCTGGCCCCCGGGCAACTGCCCAGACACTCAGATCTCCGTTGCGCGGTAAGCAAAATGGCTCCCCATGTCTGCGCCTCTCTGGCATTCCTTCCAAGTTGGCCATCCAAGTCTTGAGCCCGGACTGCCTGTGAGCTTTCTTCACGCAAGCCTGCCGGCGCAAGCGGCCCTCGGCGAAATCGATGCACGGGCCCGCCAAGCTCTCGGCCGAGGGCCCAGCGCGGCCCCCCAGGGAAAGCTGGCCGGCAGCCCGAGCGTCCGAGCAGACCAAACTGACCTGGCTGGCCATAGACAAGGGGGGCAAGCAACCGCCGTCCTCCACCACGGCTCGCTCAAGTTTTTTAAGAGTTGCGAAACCACCCCGGAGGCCGATCCCGCGGAACCCAGCGCCGAGCCATCGATTAACTAAACCTAGAAAACATCCTCGGAAGCCCGACGTCGGCATGCGGCCCCAGGAGGTAAACGCACGGATCAGGGGCGCGGACATTCGGGAAGCCCCGCCACCAAACGACGGGGCGCTTAGAAAGGGCCGGCGACCGCCGACCCCGCGCGGACGAGTCGGCACAAGCAGGCGAAAACACAAAGCCGGGCGACGGGGGCGGGGAGCCCGACCCTCTGAGACTCCCCCGACAACCTTCCCAAGGACAACTTCTCATAGCATTGAATCACGCCCCGGAGGATGAAAGCAGCGACCGCGCCTCGACTGGCGCCGAGCTCGGCAGCGGCCGCTTCGCGCCAGACCGCGCCAGCAGCAGCAAACGCAGAGGAACGGCGAAAGAAAAACGCGCGCGCATGCTTGGCCCCCGACTCCGCCGCCAGCC